ATGAATAACAAGACAAAAACATTAACAATACTTACAATTAGGCGTTTAAATCGGCCTTCCGCTCTTCCTCGGAAATGCCGTTCGCTCGTTTTACCGTACACCACAATTTTGAAGTGGAGCGACAGTTTGCCGGGCGTGTTAATATACTCCACAAAATGTTTCAGAGGGTGATAGTGAGAGGGCGTGGGATATAGCTGCTTATCTTTTTTTATCTTGCAAACAAACTCGATTATGCATTTCAGACGCACTTTGTAAATGTTTTTTTTTTCACGTTGTAAAGGATTGTTCGGGACCTTTCACTTAATTAGCACTGTTCTGAGTGTTAAATAATGTACATACCTACATATATTCCTAGCTTATATCATTTACGATGTTTTCACCGTGTTTGTTTATAACCCTACATTTTTGCGACAACTTCATATACCTAAGCCAGTTTAATCTCTTTTACTTGCAAATCAGCTTCTTTAATGTTGCTCTTCTATTACATTACAGTTCAGAAATACCACTTAACAAGTCTGTCAACGACAAATATATGACTTAAAACCTCCGTCTGAACTTGATGTGTCTAACTCTGTAAAGAGTATTTTGGTACATAAAAGAGAGAAAGAAGTATGATTCATGAAAACGGACACTAACTTGGATGTTAAGGTTTTTGTGCAACATTTGCCATGACCAGTTAAAGCAAATGTAATACTAATAGAAGACATGGAGTACTTGATTTGATGTAAATACTTTTTGTATTGACGAAATTTATGTAATTTTGTTATGGTTTTATAGAATTCTTGCACTATGCTGTAAGAAGAATATTATTTTAGTTCTGAACACTAAGTTATTCTAATAAAATAGACAATACAATCAACATAGCATTTTCTAATAAAGGGAAAAATATATTGTACTGTAGCAATATCAAAGGCATTGTCATTTTATGAAATGTTTCATTGAAATTCCAACATTCAAGTTAGATTTAAGTTTATGTAAAAATCATGCATATGACATGAAGCAGAATCGAACTTATATTAAAAGAGTAAGTTCCTTTGGCATTACATTTTACCTTGACATATGTGTGTCCAGCAGACATATAAAGTGACATTTAACTTAATGATTCAATGTTTTATTTTTTTAAACAGCAGAGGGTCTCAGACCCATGTGGCCGCCATTTACATACTATTGCAACATCAATTACACATTTAATAATACATTTTGTAATTAATACTTAGCCTTAAAGTATCATAATATTAACATATTCAAACATACATATAAGCAAACATTAACACACATACATAAATTATATATACATATATACGTCCATTCACACACGTATATACTCATACATCCGCACACGCGTGAACAATCCTATATGCAATCCATTTTTTATTTAAAGTGATATGCGAAGGATAAACCTCCATCATTTTTATAACATAATAAGCAGAATACACTTAAACATTCATCAAAACTTGTATTTTCATATACATGTTCGAAAATGTCACATAGTGCAGTAATAAGGAAACTGATTCCATATCCAGTCATAATTTCCTACAAAAAGCGGACTATATTAAACACATTTCAAAAATGTATAAACTCATTTCCTATTTTTTTTACACATATAGATAAAAATAATTATAATAACAGTATAAAATTCTACGTAACACAATTTAAAGCTGCTATATACATTAGGTTTCAGCTATCACATCGTGCATGCACATTACATACAACCAAACTTTGCTTGATCATATAAAACAACTGATTAGATGTACATAGCAATGTTGGCCAGGTTTTGTTAATAAAACGATTCAAAGTCTCCAATTTAAATTAACCATCAGAGAAAGTAATTAATATTGCTCTTTAAATAACCTACCGACATTCATGATGATTGATAAAGTATCACAAATTCTTCTTTTATTGCTCAAACGAAATGCCATGCACGTTTCCAGCGCCATCTGATATCTAAAGTGTTTGATTAGATAAAATGTTGTCAATCGTTACATTACTGAATTACCAGGAGTTCCGAACAAGATAACAGTTTGGTTAAAGAGACGAAATATTTTTTGTTTCTATTCCAGTTAAATTATTTCTATTTTATGTAATAATTCTGTATTCCAACTGATATCAGTTAGTTAGACATATTATGTGCATGTTTTAAGAAAATCCTATTTAAATTCTTAACTCTTGTAAATATCAACCAAAATAACAAGAGGATAGCAATTTCTGCCATTAAACTGTGAAATATTCAAAAGGTTTTGTCAAATTATATTACAACTTTTAAAGTCTTGTGTTCCTATTTTGTCTTGAGAAAAAGAAACATAAATAAAAAGTGATTCGTTGCCATTTGGCACTATTATTGTATTAACATAATTCCAGCAAAACTCTTATCTTAAAAGTTACCATTTACTTTCTCTTTACGAACAATTGGTTTTGCATCATCCATAAGTTCATATCTTAAAAATGTTCAACGCATTTAAAAAATGTTATTGTTACTAATGCGTGTTGTTAATATATGTCGGTATGCATTTGTTATTCTTTATGATCACTGGTAGCAGGGAACTATATCTTTTAAGTTGAGAAACGTGGCAATTATCCAAATCTTGAATGTTAGCAAGGTTTATTAAACAAAGCTAATATGGTTGTTGCTTTTATTAATTGATTTGTTTTAATAAGTCTTCAGTGATCACACCGTTTTAATCATATAGATCAAAACCTTCATCTCAGTAACCTTCAATTAGCGGTATATTTTTTTCCCGAAAATTATAAGATTTTAATAAAAAATCTCTTTACCTGAGATCATGCTAGAATTTAAATATGAAAATTAGCAGAAACATTTTTAATAATGCATGAATTGCGAAAGAATTGATTTTATATTCTAGCATATTGTTACTTTTGAATTCGAAATATTTGATTAAGAATAAATTAACGTACAAAATAGAATAAATGGAATTGTTTTTACTTGTCTTTTATTGCAACATATAACATGTGAACAATGATTTTATTTTAACATATTTGTAGGAATTCCAATGTTAATGGTTTCATTTTTTATTGAACAATGTAATTGCTACAGGGTACACATAAGCATTTTAAAGCCAACACAATTAGAATAAATATTTTCTAGGTAGTATGTCATCATAAAACAAGCAGTGTATTCAAACAAAAGTTAAGTCAACAAAATCGGAATTTCATGTTGAAATTTATTGTCAGTTGTTGTATTCTTGTGGTAGTTTGTTGCAAAGAAATGAATTCATGGCATTATTTATAGTTTTGTATTAATGACCTTTCACACAATATTTAGTCAATTGTTCATTGATATGTCATCCTTTCATTTACAGGCACATATATTTACGACCTGTCGGATAAATTATGTTCGCATATATCATTTTGGTCCGAGAACAAACATTATTAAATGAATATACTATAGCTGCATCAATCGAACCATAGATATCATATAGATTGGTCGGGTGTTGATTGGTGTAACTTTTTTTCTATAAATGTATGACAGTTCTTAATTATAAATCTAATTATCAACCTGTGTTAAACGATGATAGCATGATTCAGTAATTTAACGGCACGATCAGATAAGATCATTTATTTTTAGAACAAATCCCAACTTTTTAGTTAGCCATAGGTTTGGGTGGAGATTGCACAGAAAAAATAATTAGGTTTTGAAAGCAAGCTGTTTTAGTAATATGTGCTAACATAAGGTCCTGTCTGGAATAAAAGTTTATTGAAAAGAATTAGTTTTAAAGAATCAATGTTATGACAAAATAAGAGCATATTGTGCAGAATATTTTGGAAAGAAGATATGGAAAGAAACATATTCAGTAAACCATGCACAAATGGTATTATAAAATACGATTTTATTTTACCCATGTTATAAATTTTATATTTATATTTTAAGGGTCTGTATTATTGATTTTAACCAGCATCTCTCTAAACAAGATGTCATTGTTTCACATGTCCGAATACTCGATAAATATCCCAACTTTAAACTAGACTTTTATCACTTTTACACAAAGGGAATTGTTGAAATACACATGAACCGCTTCAACTATCAGATAGTGTGATAAAATGAATATAACTTCTAACACATCTGACTATTATTTTTATAAAGCGTTATCGAACTTGTACCTTTTGGTGTTTAGGTGCAAAATATAATTAAGTTCATGACAAACAACTGAAAAACTCAATAAAATGCTCAATTCCTCAACACAAGAAGTCAAGCTTGATACTAAGATAATATACATTTAACTTGCGTCATGCATTTAAATAAGCAAATAGATATATCATTCAAATTAAAGTAAAATTATGCACAGGGATTTATGGCATCTGAAAGATTCAAATTGTCCGTAAAGCTAAATTAAGTTTTATTTCAATTATAAGCCACATATTCATCGATTATCACAATCAATAAATTCTCAAATTTCCTGAAATATTTTACCCATATATTTTTTTAATTAAACAAGTGTATATATGATATCATAAAACCTACTTGTACATTAAGCAAATATAATTTAGCTTATTTTTCGAACTGAAAGCCAGAATTGTTGACTTATGAGTTGTTCAATATGATGTGATGTTCACCGGCAGATGGCATATAGACCGAGGAGATTATATAAAAATGCTAAACAAATTTTAATTACAAAAGTAAAGGGAATACAAAACACAACTTTTGCATGTTTTATCGAAGCGCAGGGGAAAAGACGCACGTAAACAAGATGACGTCAGGCATTCAACGAATACACGAACGCTGTGAAAACAAAAGTAATTCAGGTTTATACTCATTATTGCGGTGTATCTTTAACTAAAAAAGTAAAGTAATAGGCCAGTCATAATAGAAATTATGGTAAAACTAATTCCTTCAGAAATGTTTTCACGATTAAATAAAAGATAAACATTATCTACATTTTGAGAAAAAAGTCCTCAAAAAATCTCCTTGCAGAATCCTGAGAGATCGATCATAAAGATTTAGTAAAATTCAATATTTAAATGTGTCTCTTAAATTACACCATACTTTAACTTTATGCACGTTCGGTGACGTCACGTTTATTATATTTTCGTTGAAAGATCTGAAGTTACTTCAATTCCAGCATTCCTAGTGCAAAGGTGAGTAATTTTAGTCATTTTTATATTCTTCTGTATAAATTTTAGGGAAAAATTTGTCAGTAGATAGATTTAATTGACCACCAATCAATCAATTATGCAGATGACAAAATGTGTCATATAATTTCGCGATTTTAAACACAATTTTGAATGAAGTAATCATTAAAAGAGAGTTTATCTTTTACTCACTGTTCTATATTGTTTTCTTTTGTACAATTATCTAAAATGACATAGAATTAACCACACATCTTACTGAGTATTTAAAAAAATTTGTATGCACAAGTTATGTAATTTTTTCTTCTCTACGGAAGCGTGTTGTGACCAAAATCACGAAAATCTAGGGATATTTTTTAAAATGTTAAATTTGACTTATTTCAAAGAGTTGGAATGTTTTATGAATTGTGGAAATCATAATTAAATCAAATAATATGATAACTTGATGTAAACAAACGTATTTTGTAATACATAATGCATTTCTAAGCGAAATGATAATATTCCAGCATGTTATATGAAAAATAGACAGCGTATCCAATAGGGTGTAATCAAGCTAAAACTATTACCTATTAATGAGGAAGCTGTTACTGAAACTTTATACATTACTTTTACTTCTTAACAGAAGACATGGATTTAAAACCCAAATTATTATGCCAATTATTTGATTCTTTTGTAGGTTCAATCATATCATATGCATCTGAGAGTATGGGGTTATATATAGCAAATCAAAAGGTAATTGAGCGTATTCACTTTAAGTATTGTAAAAGAATTTTAAATGTTAGAGCCAATACAAGCAATGTTCGTATATACGGCGAACTCGGCCGTTACCCATTGTATATAAATCGATACGTAAGAATAATTAAGTTTTGGTGCAAATTGATAAATACTGATAATATAATTTTACGGAAAACATATGAATTAAGTTCTTCTGACTGTTATAAAGGTAAAAAACTGGGTATCAAATGTTAAAAAAATGCTAGATATATATGGTTTATCCGAATACTTTTTGGAAAATAATATCGTAGATAGTAAATTATTTCCAAAAATATTTAAACAAAGAGATATTGATAATTATATACAAATATGGCATTCATCTGTAGAAAATAATTATGTTTTAGAACTTTATAAAAATTGTAAAGAATTATATTTATACGAAAACTATCTTAACATATTACCAAAGGATCTTAGATTTTACATCACAAGAATTAGAATGTCTGCACATACACTAAGAGTACAAACGGGTTATATGGTCAGAATAGAATCCCAAGGAGTGAAAGATATTGTTTATGTTGTAAGAAGATGAATACCATTTTGTTTTGATATGCCCATGCTATGTTGACATAAGGAAAAAAATATGTGAAACGATATTATTACAAATGTCCGTCAATGTGTAAATATTGGACTGATTTCTTCTAATAATAAAATTATACTCACTAATCTAGCTAAATATTTGAGAGAATCGATTAAAATCAGGAACATTATTGTTAGTACTAACAACTGAATTTTGAAATTTTGTTACAAATTTATACTAAAAATTCAATTGATTTGTTGTATACTCTGCGTAACAAATTGTTTTAAATTAAAGTGTTAATAATATTCTCTTAAATCATTATTGTTCATTCTCTAGCTTTACATGAAATTCAATAATATATATATAATCCTATATTATTTGTTAAATAGAAACGTGACATCTTTACAATTTGTGTATTTATATTGTAGTGATGATGCACTATGTACAAATCCAAAATAAAATTATGTTCTGTTCTGTTCTTTACACAGTTTTATATCTTATGTTTTAACTATTTTTATTCTATCATTCTAGACAATTTGGATAAGTCTAATAATCTAATGTCAACATGCAATAGATTTCACTTATCAAAATGGTTTTAAAACACAAAATTTACTTAAATACTAAGATTACATATTCAAAGAGAAAATTAAAATGAGGTGTTAACAGACCAGACTTCAAAATTGCATTTAATATAGATTTTAATCATATCTTTTCCGACCCTAAACCATTTTATTCTTATTATAACATATTAAATTTGCTTCAATTGTTTTCTTTTAAATAAAATGTTGTGTAGTTTGATAATCTACCCTTACGATACCAGTGCCAGTTGTATGTATATTTTAAGTAATGTTTTCCATGTTGTTGTCAGCATTTATAGAACAGTTGTTGTATAATTAGTTAGAAGATGGATAGACACATGACTTCTACACAAGGGGTAATGGGATGTGAGAGAAAAATGGCTTTTTACGTAGATATATCTTATTGAATGAATGAAAGCAAAACAATTGGGTGTCTTTCAGGTTTGTTAATACAACAGAAATTGATATATCAACACAAATTTACATCATTGTTTTACAGCATGATTATAATAAATGCACATACAAAAGAGTTTGCGTATACCAACAATTTCTCAGGCGTTTCCCTACTATATCATTTCAATACTATTTCTTTTTAATATCTTTTTGATAATGTTTTATGGACTTATATATCTTATTTTCAGAGGAAGGGCTAAACATAGTATGGGATGGTTGATTGCAGAAGACAATATTTAGCGAGAGTCCAACCTTTTATATTTTGGTAAACATAAATCAATCCGTTGATTGGATGTGGCAAGAGCTTTCCATATTTCCAAGTTAGGAGAGGCTAAATGGGTTCTGTTTGAAAAGATCCAGCATTTTTGAAAAGCAATTAACAGGTAAATCAAAGAAAACCCCTCTATATTTTTAATACACAGTTGGTGTACCAGATTCAATTTTGTGTGCTACTGCATATATAACTTTTCTAAAGGGAATTCACATTTGTAAAAGTTAAATGGTTTTCTTTTAAAAGTGTTTTATTTTTAGTGTCCAAAACTGCAGTTTTCTCACATTCTCGGAATTACTAAGATCAGAGATTTTTTTGTTGGTTTTTATGTCACATCAACACTTTACTAATATATGTAAGTCTTATCCCTTTTGGTGCCCATTTAGGTGTTGTTGCTATCGGACACTATGGAGACGCGTTTCTTGAGTATTATTCTTCCTTGCTGATCTTTATTCTCATATTCCGTAAACACAAATCCAGAGGACGCAAAGCTCCAAGATCATATAATAACTTTCAAGCTTTACTGGTGAAGGAAAAAGTGTGACATAGGTATGATTTTTAGCGCGTAGAACCACCAATATTCTCTAAAGCTAGTTTGGGATAGCTATGTCAGATAATAGATTCCAAAAACCAGACAGGACTCGAACCTGCATCGTTAACACCGTAAGAAGCAAGTGTTTTGAAGTCAGTGACCTTAAACACTCGACCAAAACTTCCAATTTAGTTATCTGTATGAAAGTATAGGTGCCGTTTTGTTCAGTATTTCCTACTTATATGGCACATTATGATGTTTCACAGTTAGCGCTTCTTTCAGCCGATAGGCAATTTACACGCTTTAAATTTGTTATAACAACATAACATGAAACATATTTTCTAAAGAAGAAAGCTGAGGCACGTTTTTGCTGAGGCTAAACGTGCCTCATTAATGTATGAATTATTTGTAGATAATTCAATATAAAAATATAAATCTAAAAGCACAATTCTATCTTGCTTTTCATAGTACATGTACCTACATTTTCAGTTTGACATAAAATTGTTTTATTTTAAAAGCAGAATGCAAAGTTCGCATTTTTATTTATCATATTATGTTGTAACAATTTTACAGATGCGAAACAATGTGTCTCTGTGAAAAGGGCAGGCTAAAGGTTTCAACAGCACCGGCCGAAAAAGTGGTGATATAATTTCAGCATTGAACAAGGGCAGGGCAATATGTATATATACATGTGTAGCGTTGTCAGACTATATGGATAGTCGGGCCTCGGTGACAAAAAATGATGAAATAACTTTTTTTTTTCAGTGTCTTAACATTCAGTTCAAGATTCATTTTATTTTAAAATGTCTTTTTACAATATTTTTTTTTTACAAAACTTCCATGGTAAAGTAAGTGCAATTAAGATATTTACTTGAAGGATTAATTTTTCAGAACAGAAATGCAAATACAATGTATATAAATAATAATTATAATAATTATTTGTGTAAAATGTATTGCAATTTTGAATTATAATATGAATTTAGATAGATTCATACAACTTTAATCTTGGTAGAGCTAATTTGTAAGAATATTTAATGGAATCTGACTTAAAGTAAAAAAAAAATATTTATCATTAGTGGGTGGGGTAATGTTTTATACCAGTCTAAATGATGATGTATAGATTATGCAGTGTTGCGACTTTTTGAATGTAATCAACATTGGTTGAAATGTTTTGGATTAAATAAAGCATGTTTGTGTATTAATGTGTTACTTTGTTAATTACCATATTTGCGTAGAATATCTGGTTTGTTTAATTTCACAGATTATTCTAATTGAAAACACATGATTTCAAAACATAACATTTTTAGCATTTTATACTTCGAAATTTTTTGAGGACTTTTTTCCTGTAGCAACACCTATATAGTAGATAACAAATATGCAAATATCTTTTCTGAAGGAATTTGTTTGAGGTTGGGTCTTATTTTTGGCTAAAATGCCTAACCTATAATGATATTTTCAACGATAAATATCCCATAAAGAACAAAACGCAACAATTATATTTTGTTTGCGCATACATTATTTACAGTCTTCGATGTATGGTCATCGAATATGATTCTCAATCTATTTTTAGATAGGGAAAATCCAATTCAGTCTGTGAATATTATACTTCACCCAGTGAATTTGATTTTATAGACTACTGTGTTGGATCAATGAGATTGCAGCTGTTTTAGATCATATAATAAATTACGTTATAAATTTAACCCTGAAGTAGCATCGCACCTGCCTAATGTTTTCACCTTTATCCGATACATTATTAAATGACAGTAAATTTTGACATAGTTGACATGTACACTAAACGGCGAAGATAAAAGGAACCCGACAGCTATATTGATTCTCACAATTCTAACAATTTAGACGCTTTGAATCCTACAGTCTTATCTAGTTAGTGTAAAGTGTTGTTCACACTGTCATGTTATCGAGATTGGTCATTCGTAAGTTTTACACAATTTATTACTCCATAATGGAATGGTTACATAATTGAATATAATTGTGGAAGTAGTGGTCTTAACCCATTACTTCATATACACGCCTTTTAACGCCTTTTTCACCCCCCCCCTTTTTTGTTGTCTCAAATGATGAAAAAATGCCTTATTTAGGCCCCAAACACTTGTTTTTGTTTGAGAAATGTTGTTAAAAAAAGTGACCCTTTTTTCGGCGCGGCCCCCAACCAAAAGATACATCAGGGGGTTGCCAGAAGGGGGATGTGCCCCCTTCTGTTTGGGGGGGGGTTTGAAGGGGGGCGGAGTCCCCCTCATCGCCAAGAAAATTTTGGACTTGTGGGAGGCTGTAAATGACCCCAGATTGATCATAAGGTAACGTGTAACCAACGCTGAAAAGCATTTGACTCTATCTCAATCCATTGATAAGTTGCAGCACTTTGAAATCAATTTTGATGGAAAAAATCAAAGCAAAATAGTGATTTTTGGCAATTTTGAGATGTCCCCTCGTTGCCATGGTAACAGAAAATTTAAGCCTGAGCATGTTGTTGCAAGGACAATGGTCCAGTCAACATTTGTGCCAAGTTTGATTAGTGTTGAAGCAGTTTTTATAGTATTATAGCAATTTGAACTTGTAACGGGAGACTTTTCAATGAAAACAGCCATTTTTCACAAAATGCTCATGAAGCAATGGGTTAATGAAAAAAATAAAAAAATCTACAAAACAACAATTTATCTTCAAATTTATATGACAGGCCATGTTTAAACATGAAAAAACGGGATTTAGGGTAATTTCAAGTATTTTCATCATTTTCTGTTAACCCATTACTTCATATACACGCCTTTTAACGCCTTTTTCACCCCCCCCCCTTTTTGTTGTCTCAAATGATGAAAAAATGCCTTATTTAGGCCCCAAACACTTGTTTTTGTTTGAGAAATGTTGTAAAAAAAAGTGACCCTTTTTTCGGCGCGGCCCCCCAACCAAAAGATACATCAGGGGGTTGCCAGAAGGGGGATGTGCCCCCTTCTGTTTGGGGGGGTTTGAAGGGGGGCGGAGTCCCCCTCATCGCCAAGAAAATTTTGGACTTGTGAGAGGCTGTAAATGACCCCAGATTGATCATAAGGTAACGTGTAACCAACGCTGAAAAGCATTTGACTCTATCTCAATCCATTGAGAAGTTGCAGCACTTTGAAATCAATTTTGATGGAAAAAATCAACGCAAAATAGTGATTTTTGGCAATTTTGAGATGTCCCCTCGTTGCCATGGTAACAGAAAATTTAAGCCTGAGCATGTTGTTGCAAGGGCAATGGTCCAGTCAACATTTGTGCCAAGTTTGATTAGTGTTGAAGCAGTTTTTATAGTATTATAGCAATTTGAACTTGTAACGGGAGACTTTTCAATGAAAACAGCCATTTTTCACAAAATGCTCATGAAGTAATGGGTTAATGAAAAAAATAAAAAAATCTACAAAACAACAATTTTTCTTCAAATTTATATGACAGGCCATGTTTAAACATGAAAAAACGCGATTTAGGGTAATTTCAAGTATTTTCATCATTTTCTGTTAATGAAAAAAATAAAAAAATCTACAAAACAACAATTTTTCTTCAAATTTATATGACAGGCCATGTTTAAACATGAAAAAACGCGATTTAGGGTAATTTCAAGTATTTTCATCATTTTCTGTTAACCCATTACTTCATATACACGCCTTTTAACGCCTTTTTCACCCCCCCCCCTTTTTGTTGTCTCAAATGATGAAAAAATGCCTTATTTAGGCCCCAAACACTTGTTTTTGTTTGAGAAATGTTGTTAAAAAAAGTGACCTCTTTTTCGGCGCGGCCCCCCAACCAAAAGATACATCAGGGGGTTGCCAGAAGGGGGATGTGCCCCCTTCTGTTTGGGGGGTTTGAAGGGGGGCGGAGTCCCCCTCATCGCCAAGAAAATTTTGGACTTGTGAGAGGCTGTAAATGACCCCAGATTGATCATAAGGTAACGTGTAACCAACGCTGAAAAGCATTTGACTCTATCTCAATCCATTGAGAAGTTGCAGCACTTTGAAATCAATTTTGATGGAAAAAATCAACGCAAAATAGTGATTTTTGGCAATTTTGAGATGTCCCCTCGTTGCCATGGTAACAGAAAATTTAAGCCTGAGCATGTTGTTGCAAGGACAATGGTCCAGTCAACATTTGTGCCAAGTTTGATTAGTGTTGAAGCAGTTTTTATAGTATTATAGCAATTTGAACTTGTAACGGGAGACTTTTCAATGAAAACAGCCATTTTTCACAAAATGCTCATGAAGCAATGGGTTAAAGTAGCCAAGTCTTATTTCAATCATAATACTAGGTAATTTAGAATGTGACGCACGCTCTCCCTTGTCTAACATGAAAGCAACTGTCAATAATATTATTTCAGAACATTAAGACAAAATGTCATCCTTTAAGAGACATAATGTTACATATGTCAATGTAAGTCTACTTCATTGTGATAGAGATAGGAATTGAGGTTATTTATTTATTTACAGTATTAAGTTTTATGTACTGTCATTTTTGTTACTGCGAATGCTGATGCCAAACTTCAGCGTGTCATTTATCCCGACGCTGAAGATGTTAATATCTTTTTCAACCGATAATGCAAATGGATTGTACGATAAATCAATGTCATCTTAGGTTGCGGATGCACAGACGTTGTAATGTATTCCTACCAATTTATAAAAAACGGCAAATTCATGTTTCTTTTCGTAAAACCAAGTATAACTGTTTCTCTATAACTCATTTTAGTGTGTAAATATTATAATATAATAAATATTATAATATTTCCAAAAGCGCACATGTTTATTTGGAGGTATCATTTTAAAAGCTAATAATTATATTTGGATTTTCATAATGAAAGCGGAAAATGTATTTGTAATGTATTGCTATCACGCTTTGCAGGCAGGATTCTGTTCTTCAAATTTACATCTGCACATTCCTTTGCTTTTTGGATCTAGCACTGATTATCCCCATTGGCATATCTTGTTTTGTACTACATGAATATTATTAAGTCATACAATGAAGTAATAAATATTCAATCACAACATTTATTATAATATTTTTCTCAATCTCGTTATGTAAGCAATAAATGCCTCTCAACATAATCGAATGATATGTAGAAAAGTGTTGTTTTGAAAGATTAATACTAATTTATCATATTTGTATAATACCGCGATAGCCTTTTTGATTCAGTGTGTTGAGTTTTGTGTTTCTTGTTACCTTCTGTATAAAAACGACATGCCACTAAAGGATTTGTGTAAATTTTATCAGAATAAAATGTCAACAAAATATTGATTTAAAATGAACTAGGAATGAATGAGACTGTTTGATAACTAACAACGCGTCACTCTGAAATAATTTTTATCATTGTACCTTAGTAACTTCAAACAAAATTTGTGAATGAACGATAAATATGATATTCGAAAAACTGTTTTGAATAGTCTTTAGTCATTGCATGATCAAACGATATATAAAATAGACATTTTTGACATTTTATTGCCAAATAATCTTATAAAATTGTAAGATATTACAAGTCTTTTAGTATTTTGTCTCATACATTATACCTAACGATATTATTATACTAGATATTGTCTGTAGGGCATCTTTATGAAGTTGTTTATTAAACATTAGGAATAAAATATCTGAATAGTTCAGCTTTTTGGTTCTTGAAAATCTTGAAATGGAAGAAAAAATGTATATATAGATCTATCATTATGTGCATCAAACAAAGTTAAAGATATCACTTGCTGATTTTTAGAGCACTTTTGTGTTATAT